TTTTAAAATGGTTTTCTAAGCAGGAAGACAGGATTGCTTTGCACTTAAGGACTCAGGCTCTGGAGTCAAACTGCCAAAATTCATGTCCCAGCTCTGTCACCAGGGCCAGCTTCATGGGCATGTGACTTGTGCAGTCACATGCACTCAGAAGAAAGGCCCCACGCTTGCTTTAATGCTCTGCTGTTGCTGTCTTTAAGGTCTTAGTAATTTTTAACAAGGGTCCCACATTTTAATTTTGCACTTGGCCCTGCAAATTATGTAGCTTGTCCTTTTAGTCACTTACCAGTTGAGTATGCTTCCATCTTGTGTTAACCTTCATGGGATTAATACCAAGTGTATGTCTCATAGGGTTGCTGTGAAGAGTATTTGAATTAACATGAAAACTGCATAGAACACACAATAAATATTCAATAACTGTTAGTTACTGCTATTATTATAGGATTCAAGCAAGTAATCAACATATAAATGAAGGCTCATGCCCTCTTCTTCCTTGTAAAGACCCTTCTGTCTATCAGTCCATCCATCTTTCTTTATGGCCAAACACTTGCATGCCAGTCACCAGTTCCTTTGAGTCGATTTCAACTCATGGCCACCCCATGTGTGTCAGAGTAAAACTGTGCTCCATAGGATCTTCAATGGTGGATTTTTCAGAAGTGGATCGCCAGGGCTTCCTTCCGGGTTGCCTCTGGGGGGGACTCTAACCTCCAGCCTTTCAATTAGCAGCCAAGCGCAGTAACCATTTGTACCACAGAGGGACTTGCTAACCAAAACCAAACCAAACTCTTTGCCCTCAAGTCGATTCCGACTCATAGTGACCCTGTAGTACAGAGCAGAACTGCCCCATAGGGTTTCCAAGGAGCAGCGGGTGGATTCCAACAGCTGATCTTCTTGTTAGCAGCTGAGCTTTTAACCATTGTGCCACTAGGGCTCCAGGGACTTGCTAGGGGACCACAAAAATGAATCTGACCTTAGTCCTGACCCCAAGAGCCATAGTCTAACAGGAAAGCCTCTGGTCATCAGCTAACTTGGCTTCGTTTTTATTCCTTGTGTCAAAGTACAGATGAACACAAATAAGCAATGGCCACAAAGACTGATGGCCGAGCAGTCATGAATTGCTATGCCAGCTGTGTGATCCTGAACAGGGCGTTCCACTCTTTAAGCCTCAGCCTAATAAAAGTAACCATCCCTCTTACTCCAGGGTTGTTGGAAAATTAAGAGGAAACATTGGCCGTGGACATGCTTTATCCATCACAATGGGGCTGTGTGTGTGATGGTTGGGACTAGGTGGGAGCTCTAGAAGGTCCGCTCCTCCCACCCCACCGCTCACATTCCTCTCAGTGATGGAAGGAGGCTGGTCTGTGGCGAGGGAAGGAGGTCTTTCCTGGCACCCCAGCTGACAAGTTTGTGGGAATCCAACGTGAGTTTCATCCAGGAGCGGTGCCCACACTGGGCAGAAGGACCTCAAGTTGACAGTGAAACAGAGGACCTCTTCTGCGGCCCTGAAGGACAAGGATCTCCTGGGGTGGGATGTAACCACACACACTCACCTGGTCTTTTGATAATCTAAAGATTTGGGGGCCTGTCCCTTGCTTTCAATCCAGACACATTGTGTACCATTTTGAAATATTAACCAGGACTCGTTGCTTCTTTTCTACCCTTCTCCTCCAACCCACATTTCATTGTGTCCCTTGGCATTGCCTGTTCATTCATCTAAGGCTTTCCTCAATAACCACCTTAGAAAAGAAATGTTAGGGCAGAACACAGAAAACCAAGAAAACTTGGCTTTTGAGTCTAATATGTGAATCCTGAAAGATGGTAGGGGGATATAACGGGTTTGGAAGAATGACAGATGATGTAGGAGTAAGAATTATCAAGCTATAGATTTCCTGGAAGGAGTCCTGGTGGCACAAACGGTTGAGAGCTCAACTGTTAACTGAAAGGTTGGTGGTTCAAACCCACCCAGTGGCTCCAAAGGAAAAAGACCTGTGATCTGCTTCCATAAAGATTACAGCCTAGAAGACCTTATGGGGCAGTTCTACTCTGCCACATGGAGTTGCTATGAGTGGAAATCAATGGGATGGCACCTAACAACAGCAGATTTCCTGGGCTGGAAAGAGGAAGAAAAGAACGAGATGGCTTAAGTGAGTATGTAGCATTGGTGGGGTCCCTGAGAACAGAAGCCTGTATTCCCATCCTCCTCCCAAACCAAGTCTAGAAGGGCATCACAAAAACCCAGAGAGATTTTACAGGCAGCTGAGAGGACAGGAGACCTGAGCCTCTAACATGGAGAAAACTTAGGGAGAACCCATAGTCCCAATCAGATGCACTTTTTTAATGTATCTGGGCAGACAGGTGTAAGTAAGCCTATACGGTCAGATAAAGTTGTACAGGTTGTGCACTGCACAAGTCTAAGGGGCCATTCACATTTCACCATGTAGGATTTTCACATCATACCTGTCGACCCTGTCTAAGACAGCCTCACAGCCTGCCCTGAACCTCAGTGAGGTAAAGAGAAAGCAGATTTTTCCTTTTGGTCCAGAATGAGAGGAGACACTGTAGAGCAGGGGACAGCACACTAGACGGCCCATGGGCCCAATTTAGCCCCATGCCTGTTTATGTAAATAAAGTTTTATTGGAACACAGTCACTCTCATTTGTTTACATGTTGTCTTTGGCCGCTTTCTTGCTACAATGGCAGAGTAGAGTAGCTGTGACAGAGACCATATGGCCTGCAGAGCTGAAAACATTTAATCCCTGGCCCTTTACACAAGAAGTTTACCAACCCCTGCCATAGTCTGGCAGCCGTCCCAGACTCACATCTGAGGGCCAGATGGGGACCTGGAGGGCTCAGGAGATACCAGTGTGGCCGGATGACAATACTAATAGCCCATTGCTCCTCCACCAGCCATACACCCCCAGTGAATCAGCACTCATAGGGCCCCTGTAGCTTTGATATAAGCCCAGGAATGTGGGTGAAAGATCCTGAAATGTTACCAGCACAAGAGGGCTCCAAATGCAAATCAAGTTCAATTGGTTCTCAAAAAATAAAGTCCCATTTCTTGCTTGTCTGTGTTGTGAACTGAGATGTCACATCGAATGCACAGGCCCAGGTGTGTAGATCTGTGCCAATTGTCCACGCCTCCTTTCTGCCACTCACTTCTGTACTTGCCAGGTGAGGTTCTGGACACACCTGCCGGCTAGGTAGTGCCTACTCAGAGGCCTGCATTCCCACAGTGCCCTTGTGAAGGGGGAGATGGCAGTTGCTATGCTCACAACCTGTGGGCCTGCCTTTCTGGTCACAGCCAGCAGTTCAGCGGGCATTAAGCACCAGGGGGCCTAGTAGGTGAGGGGTCACATCCTGGTCAGTGGTGATCTGTACTGAAGGGTGACTCAGGCAACCAATCAGACCTTCTCTCTCAGGAAGTTTGAACTGAAACTGTGCAGAGAAAGCCAGAGCACGGGAGAGGGGACAGAGGAGAACGTGAGATAACAGTGAGCAGAAACCTTAAGTAAACTGACCCACGGGGTCTTGGTGGGAGCCTGGAATACAGAGGCTGAGAGGACCTAAGTGCCCATAAAAGTAGATACCCACCTAGGGGGGTGGTGGATGTCACTGCAGGGATGTTGACAAAATGACCCGTTGTTGTCAGAAAACATTCAGGTCTTCACAAGGTCTGGCTGATTTCTGCTTTCCTTACACCTCCTCACATTCTTACCACAAGTCCCCCGTCACTGAAGAAATCCTGGGTCTGGGCTCCCCGTGGTTTTACACTCTCATACTAGCCTCACTTGGCCTTGTCATTACAAATTGCAGATTTCTTCTTCTCACTCACTGTATGGTGGTCCCGCCTTCCTCCTGGGTTTTGCCACAGGCAAGCTGGTGTTCACATCTCATCTCTCCTCAAATGCGCCTGTCATTTGTCTTTCAGGCTATTTGTCTTGCAACCTCAGCTTCTTGGTGGATTCAGGAAAAGTTATGATTTCGAGGAAAATCCTGCATTTTCCTGCTGTTAGGGTAAGAGTGACACTCCTTAGAGCTTTCTGAATTTGAGCAGAGGGCAGAAGTCAGCCCAGTGATTCTGAAAGTGGCGGTTTTAGAAAGACGTTTGAGGGACTTACTCTAAGGTGGTGACTGCCCAAGAAGTAGTCCAGGCTACAGAGTCTCCAGACCAGCTGCTAGAGGAGGTAGCTTCGGGGAGGGGCTGGGAAGCTGCTGTGCATATTGAAGGTGTCACAGACCCATGGAATGGTCAGTAAGGTCATGCAGCAGTGCCACAGGGTCACCATGGCACTTCTCCCTCCCACCCTACTCCAGGGACATTCTCAGCCTGTGTCACCTCCACCTCCATGGCTAGCTCCACACTGAGCAGAGGGATGCTCCACTCTGGCTGTCCCAAATCCAGCAGTTGGAAGTTGTTGAGGGCCCAGAGAGATGCTGCAGACCCAGGGTCCCATCAGCAGCTCCCAGAGCCCAGCCTACTGGCCTCTGCTTGCCTGGAGGTCCAGCCATCCTCAGCACAGCATCTTCCAGCTGATGGTGCAGTCTTCCTAAGGAAAAAAACAAAAGCAAACCCATTGCCTTTGAGTCCGACTCATGGTGGCCTCATGTGTTACAGAGGAGAACCAAGCTCCATAGGGTTTACTTGACTGTAATCTTTACGGAAGCAGATCACCAAGCCTTTCTTCTTTCTTCTGCAGCACTGCTGGGTGGATTTGAACTGCTAACCTTTCTGTTAGTAGTCAAGCACAAACCATTTGCACCATCCAGAGACCTCAGTCTCTCTAAGGAGCAGGGTTTAACTTCCAGATGAAGACACAGACGCTGGCTTGATCTCCAAAACAGTGTTTATTCCCAAAATTGAGGCCACAAGTACAAAATTCCCCCTCCCTCCAGACAATTCTTCAGCCTCCACAATAAGAAGCTTCTTTGGGCTGTAAACACCTTCTGTATAACACCCTTGTGTGGACTCATCCAGGCCCCAGAGACAGTTGGCCTTTCATTCATAGCTCAGTGTGCTCTGTCTGTGGTGACTTCTCTGCTGCCTTCTTGGCCAGGAGATCAGTCCAGAAAGTCACTTCCTTGTCTTTCAGCTTCTGAGCTGCCTTAGTGCTGATGCCAATCTGCAGTACCCTTCTTTCTGGTCGTATGCTGGCCAATGGGGTAGCCCCTCTCCATTGGGGTTCCTAGGAACAGAATAAAATAGAAATTCCCAAAGCTATGGTGTAGTCAAAGCAATCCTATGAGATGTGCAGGCATTACCCTGGCTTCATCTCTGCCTAGAGGCTCATCCACCGCCAAGATGGGTGTTCACCATCTCTGGGGGGAGCTTGTCCACTTTTAGGTAGCTCTCTTTGTTAGAGTTCTATGGTCATAGAGACAAGATCTTTACCACTTAAACTTCAGAAGCCACTCCTTCCCGAAAGATATGCCCTGCTCTCCCTGTCCCCATCCCTGCTCCTCTCTGCCACTAGTCTCACCCATTCCGAGCAAAGTTGGCCCACAATTTCATCCCCATCCTGCTGAGTTTGACCTCCTCTTCTGTGGCACCGTCTGTGGGGAAGAGAAAAAAAGAAAGCCTTTGGGACTCAAGGTTTGGTTCATGGACCACCAGCATCAGAATTAGTTGGGGGCTCATTAGAAATGCAGAATCTTGGCCCTTATCCCGGACCTACTGATTCAAAGTCTGCATTTTAAGAAGATCCTGAGTAATTTGTGCGCACTTTAGGTTTGAGAATTACTGATCTAGCATTCAGTGATTGGCCTGCGGTCAATCTGTGAGCTGGCTGTGTTTGTCTTTTTTGTGCCCACACAACCCTCCTTCCCCTTGAGAATCACAATGTCATCTCCACAGCTTCCTTCACAGCAGCTCCAACTTCAAGACTGCTCTCCCTTGGGTATTTTCTCAGTCTCCTTCATCAATCTACATTTTGATAGTCTGAAAAAAAATAGAGCTGAAACGGTCCTATGGAGTCATCCAATTGGGAGATGACCAGAGACACCAGTGTATCACTACAACCATGAGGTGGGTCACAAGACATCTGTAATACCTAGTAGTTAGGATTGGAGACATTGGTGAAGGATTTTCTTTAAAATATTATATTATTAAATAGATCAAATTTTAAAAGATATGAGTTTTAGATGTTAAAATACATGGTAGATATATACGTAGATAGATAGATGGTAGATAGATAGGTAAATAGATAGACAGAGAGATGATAAGATAGATGGTAGATAGTAGATAGAGGCTAGATAATAGATAAATAAACAGACAAGTAGGCAGACACATACGCACACAAGAAATGATTCAAAGTTAACACCAAGTCTAACCTTACTCCCACTCGCCTTCTGTTATGCTCTTATGAGTGGGAGATGAAGGGGTAACATTCTAGCCCTTGAGCAGGGCCCTGCATGTGACCTACTACCTGTCTTATTGATGCCACATGTCCGGATTCTGAGAGTGACCATGGCTGAGGGCATGTGGACACACATTCTCCATCATGCATGTTAGAGCAGGAGAAAGGTTGGAAACTGCCCAATGTAGTTCAACCGTATTATGGTGATTTCAGGAAACTAAGGCCAGGAATGAAGGAGGAAATCACTCAAGGCCACCAAACTGAGACTTGAGCCCAAGTCTTCTAAATCCAAGCTCATAGCCAGCAAACAGCCATCACCTTTGAAAAATGGGGCTCCGAAGACAGAGAATAGCTCATCCCCATGATCTCCTATCACCGTCTTGGGTTTCATCTCTGATGAGAAGCTTGGGCAATGCTGAAACTCGTACATGTAGGTGAGGGCTCCGGCATCTGAGAAAATATGTATTCATGCTCAGTTTATTTTAGCAGATGCATACATGGATGTTATCAAGGTCTCCAGGGGGCCCTGAGCACTCAGGGAATTGGTCGCACACCTGGGTACTAAGTATACAACACCAACAATATTAATAGCAGCTGCCCTTTGTGAGTGCCAACTGTGTGTTGGGCATTATGTGGCCCTGCAGGAACCCCCTGGTTATCAGCACAATTAAGAAATGGCGTTTCAGGAAAGCTCATTGACTCACTTAAGAATGCAGAGTTGGCTGAGGTGGGGCAGGGATTTGGGCCTAGTCTTTGTTGAATGAATGAATGAATGAATGTTGAAAGTCCTACATCAATCCATTCAAAATGACTATCATTATAGGGCACTAGGTCAATCCACATAAACATCTTTGCCTACTGATGCAGTCACACATACTGTTGTATTTCATTGATAACAGACTTGTTTTTGTTCCTTTGGAGAATATCTATAGCCCAATAGGTATCTTCTATTTTCCTCAGTTTTGAGAATTTCCACTGTTTTTCTCACCCATTCTGAGAAGAGTGAAGTAAATCCATGTTGCTGGTCTGAAAATAAGGATATTGAACTACAAGTATATACAGAATGGGAACAAACTATCTCTTGTGTCTCAGGAAACCACAAGCTCAACATTTCATATTTCTGTCCCTTCCCTTGTCTTGCTTCCTGCTTGGCCCAGTGAGTATCCAGGTGGTGGCAGGAAACAGAAGGGGCCATGGAAGGGTGAATTTGCCTCTCTCCTGTTCTCCTGATCTTCCTCTCTCACTACTAAAGCTTTCCTGTCCATGTTCCCAAAAAAGATGTCAGTTTTCCTGCTGACCTCTTCATCAGAGCTTCCAATCCCTGAGGGCTAACTCATGGGCCACCCATTTGGAGGAATGCATTGCTTCTCATGGGTCCAATGTGCACAGAGAAGAGATTCTAACAGGGGGAGAGTCAGGCCTTAAGTTAGGCTATCATTATGGAGCACTAGGTCAGTTCACATAAATTCCTTTGCCTACTGATGAATTCACACACACACAAATCTATATACATCCACAGTGTCATCACTAGGGGATGCAGGGAGTGCCACTCCGGGTGACACTGTCAGAGGCGGTTACACCAAAATGACTGCCTATAAAATTTTTGTGCAGTGTTTCAACAGAAATTTATTATTTTTTTATAATAACAGTAGTATATATAACAGTAGTTAGTTACAACAATAAAAATATGTTTCATAAAACCAGGTTACATGTATCAATATACCTACAAAGCTAAAATTCTATGCTAATTTATCTTTCCAACATGTTAATGCCCTCCAATCAGAGCTGTCATTATTGCCCAATTACAATGATGCTTCGATTCACGTGGTTTTGTTTGCAAGTGCTGCAAGCACACACTGTTGTCTTCATTGCTGCCAGTGTTTCTATAGTCACTGATTTTGTCAAATTTTCTGGTGTTTTAGCTACAATATTCTGGTGATTAGTATTTGTGAACCTATATCAATAACTTTTTTGAGAATAAAGTAGTAATTAAAAGAAAAGGAGAAAAATCAAAAAAGTCTTTTGCTCAGTTACTAATGTTGTAACTAATAATGTTGTAATTCAATGTAGAAAGATTTTACAAAACAATTTTGTTGTTAGTATTCATATAATCTAAGAAATATCCAAGTTAAGCAATTTACAAGTATATTTTTCACATACTATCCTACAATTAAAATTGGTAATAAATAATACTAAGGATTCTGTGTGGTCTGGTATGGGAGGAGGTTCATGGGGAGGGAATGACATGAGTTACTGCCCTGGGTGACACCAACCCTAGTGACACCACTGTACATCCAGTGTACACTATTGCGTTTCATTGAAAACAGACTAGTTTCCATTCCTTTGGAGAATATCTACACCCCGACTGATGTCTTCTATTTTTCCTAGCTTTGATCATTTCCACTGGTGGAGAAATTTTACAACTTTTTCTCCCTAAGCATAGTAGGAAATTTGCAAAATGCAGAAAAATGAACAAAAAGATCACTTCTAATCTCACCACTGGAGAAAGTCTCTGTTAATATTTTAGCACATAAGCCTTTAATAAATATAATTGGGATAATATTGTGTATGCTATTTTGTAAAATACTATAATCCTTTCTTCACATTGTTAAATATTCATCCACAAAATGATTTAACACTATATGTCATCCCAATATGAGAATTTGTCCCTGGGTGGTACAAACAGCTAATGCGCTCCGCTGCTAAATGAAAGGTAGGAGGTTCAAGTCCACCCAGAGGCACCTGAAAAGAATGGCCTGGTAATCTACTTCTGAAAAATCAGTCACTGAAAACACTATGGAGCACAGTTCTATTCTGACACACACGGGATCGCCGTGAGTCGGAGTTAACTTGACGGCAACTAAAACCAGAAAACGTGAGGATTCAGCATAATTTATTTAACTGTTCCCCTCACTTCCTCATCATTGCACTCTTGGATTAAAAAAAAGAAGAATAAGTGTTGTTTGGAACAGTCAGTCCTTCTGTGGCTGTGTAATACACTTGTTAAACAGGAGCTTCAAGGCTAAGCAGAACTTGCTGAAAGGAGGTGGCTTTAGCTTGCCTCTTCCACTCAAAAGTTTTAGAAAGGAAACAGAACCCAAATATAGAGGAAAGGCGTTTTGTGGATGAGAGAACTTATTTTAGGCAGTATCTTGCCCAAAATAAATTCTTTTTTTTTTTTTTTTAACTCACTGCCTGAAACCATTGAAATTTATAAAACTCCTACAAGCACAACACAGGTCTTCAAAGGAAAGCAGGATGCAGATTTGGGTAGTAGCAGTTAGGAACAAGAGACACAGAGACAAGGAGAGAGCTCATAACCAAATATTTGAAAATTAAAATACAGTGTGATGTTCTTTTTTTTGGCGGGATAACCCATTGCCGTTGAGTCGATTCCAACTCATAGCAACCCTACAGGACATAGGAGGACTCCTCCATAGGGTTTCCAAGGAGCTGCTAGTGGATTCGAACTGCTGATCTTTTGATTAGAAACCAAACACTTAACCACTGCACCACCAGGATTCCATTCTGGTGAGCCAGGGCTAACAAAATTGGCAGCTTTTTAAAATTTTTTAATCTTAGTATTCCAACTGGGAAAGAGAGTTAAGAAATCCACACTCTTAAACACTGGATAGCAATGTTTCAATATGTATCAAGAGATTAAAGTACTCTTACAGGTCAGCCTAGTAATTTCACTTCTAAAAACCAACCCTAAGAAAATTATTACAGACGTGGCCAAAGATTTATGCACATAAGGCTGACTAAAACGTTATTTGTAGCATCAAAATATGAGCAGTCAACCTAAGTATCCAATAATACAGGAATATTAAAGTGAATTATAATGCATTCATTCCACGGAATTATAGCAGTCAATGAAATGTATGTTTTTGATGAATTTTCAGTGACATTGGGGAAATGTTCATAATATAGTATTACATAAAAAAATCCATAGTGTTGATCTTTTAATTATATGTAATCAAAAAACAAACCCCTTGCAGTCGAGTTGATTCCAGCTCATAGTGAACCTACAGGACAGAGTAAAACTGTCCCATAGGGTATCCAAGGAGCAGCTGGTGAATTCGAACTGTCTACCTTCTGGCTAGCAGTTGAGTTTTTAACCACTGTGCCACCAGGGCTCCAATTATATGTAAGATATGAAAAAATTATTGGGAAAAAATACAAAATAATTTACAGCAAATACTCTAGTGGGAGGAACTATGACTGATGTCTAGTTTCTTCCACCTGTGTTCCTGTATTTTCAAAACTTTTTGCAATTGTAGCAAATTAATTTTACATTCAGAAAAGTTCTTTTTACTAAAAGAACTTTAATTAAAAGGAGAATGAGATAAGCATAAGATTGAAAGAATAAAAAATCCCTAAACTCAATGTCATGTAATATCCTGGGATGGATGGGACCAGCAGAAGATGCTGAATGGGATACCACAGGTCAGACATATAGCAGGAGGCAAAACAAAATTTATGAAAAAAAATAGATTTGACCCCTGGTTTTCATCAGGACGCTAGTGAGGAAGAAGGGATAGGTAATTAGCACCTGTATATTATGGCTGTGAGGTGTGCTTGGGCACACTGTAGTTCAGCTTTAGGTAGTCTATTTCATGCTGTAGGTAGTTTTAATTATGCTTATAAAGTCCTGAATTTTAAAACCCTTCCAGCAGGGTTAGAGAGAGAGAGGTAGGGACTAGGGAACCATTTATTGGCTTGCAAATGAGGTCAATGAGTTAACTGGGCTTGTAGAAAGTGGAAAGTCCAGTAAGGACCTCAAAATGGCATCCAGAAGGAGACATCTACTATCTAGGTGAGCTCCTCCATCCTTAACCTCACATCCCACCTACTCAGCCTTGGGGAAGGTGAGGTTGGAAGCTCCCATGGAAGACCTTACGATGGTCCTCAGCTTGTCAGAGGCACACAGTGGGATGGACAAAAGCCTGCTACTGATATTAACATCCTCCAGACTACCTCCTCCCACTCCTCCCACTGCTCATTCCTTTTGGTTTTCTTGGTCCCTGACAACCTTCCTGACCCTATGCTTGGCTCTCACTCTTCCTCCAGCTCCATCAATTAACAAAACAGTTTGCACCTAGCTCTGACTAAGACACACCTTCCAGTATTTGCCCTCCAGCTCCCATACCACCATGACTTCTGGTAAGGAACACTCATATTCCCTATTTCTGGACATGTCAGCCTGACTTCTACCTCCAGAATCCATAGTGATTTGCCTGAGGGCTCTGTCTGGTCACTGGAGACTACTCTGTCTATGCGTGCAGCAGGTCAAAGTGCCAGGAAATTCACAACCCATTGGGAACAGCCTTCAACCAATGACTAGTGGGAGTTGTTGGTAAGTACCCAAGATCCTTTGCTGATTAGATGGGATGACCCTGAGACTTGTCGTCTCCCTGTTTCCAGAGTTCCCAGCTCCAGTTGTCCACGGTAGACACCTGCTGAACACCGCATCATTGATTGGCTTCCTTCCTTCTCCTGTGTCACCTCCTCACATTCCTACCAGTGTTTTCTGGGATCACCTCCCAAATAAACTACTTGCACTCAGATCATTTTCTCAGAGTTGGCTTCTGGCAGAATCCAAATCAGGAGAACGCCCCACTCCAGGTCAAGTGGAATCAGCCCTTGAAGCTGGACTCTCAGAAGTTTCAACATATCTGTCTATGCTTGGGTTTGGGGACTGGGAAGGACACACAAAGAATCTGGAGGTGATCGGCAACCCCTCTCCTGTCCAGCCTTTGGGACTCACCCCTGTGACGACGTGCCACAGTCACAGATGTGATACAAAATAGTACATCTCCAAGGATGTCCAGGAACAGGTCTTTCTTTTTGGCAGGGTCATCTGTCCCACCTATGTACTTCTCAGTGATCACTGGAGTCAGTTCCTCAGGGATGGCCTGAATGGATCAATAGTGAAAAGTGACCACCAGCTGCCTGCCCCCAGGTGAGCCGATGTGGCTTCTCCAACCAGTGAGGAAAGCTTGCATTAAAAGTCACGAATGAAGCCCTTTGCAGCTCTCCCCCAGGGTGGCCAGCTAGGAAAGGCAGGCAAATGTGGTAGAACCCTCAGGTCCTAGTCTTTGTTCTGCCATTTAATTGGTCTGTGGTTTTGGGCAACTCCCTTCCCCATTTTGGGTCCCCGCCAATTCCCATGATTCTCTGGACTCTTAGAACAAGGGGGTAGGATTTCCACAAGAGTGATGCAGCCGTCTTATGGTCCAGATCACCTTCTGAGAGTGGGTAGCCCATCATCTGTTTAAAAAAATGATGACGCACCTGTGAATAACCGAGAATTAACAGGAAGAACCAACCAACGTAACCCATGCAGACTGAAGAGCCTCTTACTTTGCCGTGCTTTGGTGTGCGTGGGCTTTGATGAATTGGACAAAATCTATGAATCAAATGGACTTATATTCAGAAACTCAAGAAGTGCAAAGAGGATAAAAAATACTTAGCAGAAGCTGCCCCAATCCTTTGCAGCCCACTGTGACATTTATCAGGCTAAAATCCCCACAATGGTCAGTGAGTCAGAGAGGGAAGGCTGAAACCAAGTTGTGTTAAAGTAGAGGGCTGTGGGGCAGAAGATACAGACCTGCCTCTGATGGCTAAGGAAATCCAGATCCCAGCCTTTAGGGCTTTGGTCCTTTGAGATAACCTCTGAAATCCCTCTGCAGGAAAAATCCTTTTTCACTTTTGGAATTCAATTTTAACTCACAAGAAAGCTTGTTTATCTGAGTCTTTCCAATTAGATTACTAAGAGGATGTGCAGAGACTTATGGAGAAAATATGAAAGCCCCAAGCCTGAAGTGGGAGACTCTGGGCTCCAGGCTTAGCTCTTCTTAACTTCCAAGTTCCTTCCACATTCTAGGCCTTGGTTTTCCCACCTGCACCATTATTATACTACAGGGCCTCCCAGCACCAACATTTCAGGGTTTTTTGATTTGAAGGACACAGTGTTTGGGGAGATGGGTTCCCATGGACAGCACCACCCATTTAGCCATCTCAGAGAAGGTATTCATGGAAATGTCAACTCATGCAGAAAGGGCCTACTGCCCTCCTCAAAGAGGGGCTTGGAGAATGAAGAACTCCTCCCACTAGAGATGGGAGGAGTGGTGAGAGGATAGTCTAAGAGGCTTCCACATTCTCACTGTTGGAAGAAGCCAGCCAAACTCTTGCTTGTTGATTCCAACAATGTAGGGGACGTTGTTGAATTTCTTT